ATTGATAGGTATATTACAGATCTGAAGCATAAAACCGCCATTTTGCGTCTCAGTAACATATTAGGTTCTCACTGCAGGGATTGTGATGACAACCTTCTGGGATTCTAAACACTTAGAACCGGCGCTATTCATAATTGCAAATAGTAAGTAGTAAGTGTAATTAAATATTCAAATAAATAACATCTCATATTGCAAAAGAAGAAGAAAATGTCAATATTGCCTTTGGTCTGTTAGTATAAACAATATTAACTCACCCGTGATACACCAGGAAAGATAGAAGAAACAGCACACAAGCCAAAACGTCGGCCCTGCCTACAATCCCGGTAACCTGGAACAAAGCAAGTTGACATTTTAATTTGCATAGAACACTTTAACTGCTAGGACTTCTTTGTTTGTGTGAAAATATTTTAACAATTGTGCAGGTTATATGGTATCCCATGACGGGATTCTTGTCAATAACACGCGTGGAACAACGTGACAGAACTGCGTAGTGGCATTATTATTAATACCGCCTTTCGTCTTAAAACTGATAACATTACTAAATCAAGGCTGCGTCTTAAAATCTAGGAAATAGTTGCGAGAATGTGGAGAGGATGCTGAGGTGAACACTTCTACCTATGAGGTAATATCATAACTGTTTCTTAAAGAAATGGGTTGTGAGAGTGATGGACTAATCTGGCTCAAGATATCAAATGAGTTGCGGACTCTTGTGAAAAGTCATAAACCTTCGAGATCCATAAGAAGCGGGTGTTTGTCTGTCCACTTTTCTCCACGCAGTTACAGAGCTTGTTGAAGGAAATTATAAAATATAACTTTTGACAACGCTGTTTCAACTGCAGAGATTAGTTAGAAAGTGACGAATGAGATTAAGAACGTAAACAATGATCAGGAGGCCGTTGTCTGTCTGAAGATTTTATTCCGAAAAATTTCCCTTGCCTACTGTCCCGTAAACTTCTTTCGAGCGCGACACGCCTTCATTTATCAGAGACATTTGACTGCTCACCACAAAAATTTCGCATCACGAATTGGGGATAAGAAACTATATTTGACCAAAAAGTGTTTCTACATATAAATCCTTGCCCTATAATTGTAGGCATCTGAAAACAAAGCATAACACATTGTGAACTGTGTCCCGCGCGGTCTGAGGCATCATGCTTCGGACCGGCGATACGGAATGCGCGCTGGTTCGAGTCTCGGGGAAAGAAATTTCTCATGAGATTTTCACCGAGCATCGTGAGGAAATTGGGGAGCTAGAATGGGTAGTGTAATCCGGTCATGAAAACTAGCAATGGCTGGGGGTTCGTCGTGCTGACCACACGTCACTCTATATCTGGTAGGATGATCGTTCACCTCTGTTTAGGCATGTGAACGTGAGGCCAGCAGCCAGCTAGTCGGCTTTGGCTCCCAGAGGGCTCTTACGCCACGGATTATTATTAATTACAAAAGATAAGGTGCTACTTTTTCTCAGTACAGTGTGCAAACGTACAATTTCTTATAAAAATTCGCGGTACAGCAGCGTGCAGTGGCACACGGACAGCTTGGGCATGAAGAACGATAACCCTGCCCAAAAAAAGAGGATGCCCAAACTACAAAGTAAAGTACTCAAAATCCACACATAAATCCGTACAGCTGTTATCTGTTTCTGAAATAATATTCCGAATAACTTTAAAGAGATTTAATACATTTCTTATGTGAAATTTCATTATATCTTATGGCCCTTTCGAAGTCAACCATAAATCTACTTAGGAACAACGGTGATAGTTCCACGTGTATACAATTAATATCCCAACTTCCAGGACTCCACTCCACTCGGCAGCGCTTACTTTGCGTTACAATTAAAACAGTATGCGGTTTCTAGTCTCGGCCATAATTGCTCAGTTCTCTCTGACCATGCCCACTTTCCAATACAGCGAAGTGCGAATAAAGGAGATCC